TGTGATGCCGAATTGAGTTTTGTCATTTGGTCCATCACCACGACCATCTTCTTTTTGGGCTCTACTAGAATTCTTTTCTTTGTACCACTGTGAAGACAGCGCCTCAATAATAGAAATGGTAAAGTGGTATCTTGAAATTACTTTTCCGCTGGTATTTTCTGAGTATATTAAATAGGCATTCAGGAGGATTCTTGCAAATATATTGAAGGTGACTTTTTTCCAATATTTTAGGGTGCGTCTCTCATCCAAGTAACAATACATCATTTGATCATTGCCGTCAACACCACCCATGAAACGGTTGTATGCATCAATCATTTCAGGAATTTCTTTTACTAAATTTTCATTTGTTCTTTTTTTTAATTTTTTCAATAGACTTAGCAGTACGTTTAGAAGATAATAAAATAACTGGGTTTTTCTGATTTTTTTCTCTCTGAAGCCTAAAAATAAAAGATTGTCATTTCTCATGTAGGTCCTTTGGCCAATGTCGAATTTTTCTTTTAGTTTAGATGGAATGCCTTTTCTATTCCTTCGTACGGTGCCGGTGATGAATGTAAGTTTCTCGTACAAACTTGTAGCCAAAGGGATACTAGTAAAAAGGTTATCCATGAAAACATGGTAACCCTTGTACAAATACTGGCCTACCTCAAGCAGTTTGTGGACAACTTTGTAGGCTAGGCCTGTGGTTTTCTGTCCAGTAATTTTTGTTCCCTTGTAACAATAGAACGCAAGGCAATACCTCAAAATGGAATCGCACAGCATCCATAACTTAACACCCCATTTGTGATGGTGTTTGTTTGGGAGGTATTGCAACAACTGAGATCTTGATTTAGTTCCAATCAAACTTTCATCAACCGACAACTCACGCTGTGGTGTGTAGTACAGACTAAACAGTCTGTTGACGGCTTCTAGCAGGGGCGAAAATTTTGCACACGGGTCATATCCAGGCTCCCCAATTTTAGGCAAATTTGAATTGTCTACCATATGAAAAAATTGAATAATACTTTCAAAACGAGATCGACTAAACATCTTTCCGTACCAAGGAGTATATTGGGAGTCAGATGTTGCCCAGTAGCTCTGAATTGTCGGTTTCCTATTTAGGCCCATATTTAAAATTACTGCAATAAATGCCTTCATTTCAGCTAGTGTTACCGGTCTCCATTTATGGGCTCTAGAATTATGGGTCAAATTATGTAGATGTGATTCGATGTACTGATTAGCATACCTGTTAGTTTCTCTTACGAATTTTGTTAGGATTGTAACCGTGAAAAATAAATAAAAATAATCAATCGGTTCAGAATCACGAGGAGGACAGTGCTTTGGACCAGGTTGTTCGAAAAATAAAATGTTATGGTCAAATCCAGGGTCATCACATTCATGGACAGGTTTCCATTCTTCTTCACTAGGATCCATATCTGGTGGAATATCAGGGTCAGGGTTAGGGGTTTCGCAACGTTCGGAATTTCTTATTACATCTTCAATAGTAGCATGTACTGTATTCAAGTTCAAAAGGGGTGCATTTACATTTACTTTGTTGTTCAAAAAGGGTGGATTTACATTTACTTCATTGTTCAAAAGGGGCTCATTTACATTTTCTTCAAGGACATTTTGGATTAAATCTACATTATTGGTATCATGCAATTGGGTATCATGCAATTGGTTATTTGAGGGATTAGGCCTACTATTTGAAGATAAGTTAGGACTAGGCCTACCTGAATTCGAAATTACAAACTCAATAGGCCTACTTTCAGCTATGTCACTAGGCCTACCAAGAGGCATATTTCTATCACGAGATTTTGTAGGTTGAGCATCTTCATCTGAACTTTCTTCCTCTGATAAAACATAGTCAGGGTCTTCATCAGTATCATCATCAAAACCTGACAAAACATCACTTTCGTTTTCACTATCAGAGGTTTCAGAATCTGATATGTTTTCCACAAAACCGTCACTCAAGTCATCATAATCACCAACACCAGATTCCACTACGTTTCTGAACAGTGTATTTTCACTAACTAACTGGTGATTGTCGTCTGCGTCTGTTATTATAAATATCTTCATCAGAACTGTCAGAATTTTCCATTGTAAACTTAAAATATATAAAAGCTTAGAATTTTACTCAAAAACCAACTGTAAACTGAAAAATTAGCAGTAAACATAAACAAACACCGACCTCTCACTTACTGCAGACAGCTGGATTGCGTCAGCCGGCCAGCGCCATAGACCACAAAATAAAAATGACAAGCAAAAAATTACGGCTACGTAAGAGAAAAAAAAGCATAGAGTAACATTTCACAACTCTTTCTAACAAATATGTCACAATATCAGCGCGTTTGGACTATTCATATAGCCAGTACGATCGATTTTACTGATGACCGATATTTCGGACGTCGGATTTTTCGGGAGATTTTGCTGACGTGCGATATTTTGGACCACGGAGTTTTTGGCCGAAATGACAACGTCCGATAATTCGGACGTCGGAGTGCAATGGGTTAACTGTACTTAAGTGATGCCCTTTCTTATTATCCTGAGACGTATTTGGACATCTACATGAAAAAACCTTTAATTTGACACATCAACCGTTAAAATCCGTCAAGCCGTTATCGAGTTATGACTGTGAAAAGATAACTGCTTGCGTATTAATATATAGATTAACATGGGCTTTATGGGTTGCCATGATGGCGACGAAATAACATCAAAATATAAACAGAAAATCAAAACAAATGGAAGAAATTACAATCACATGTTTTATTTACAGCATGGGGTGAAAATAGAGAAGCCTGTACCTTAAAATTCCATCCCCGTGTTAAAGCTGTCACCAGTTTTAAATACCCCCGCCGCAGCAAACCTGCAGACTAAGCAAATTTCCATTTCCCTGAATGGATTTACACTAAAATGTCTCCTTAAAAATATCACATTTATTCCCTATTTAAATAGAATCAGTTTAAAACATACTTAGGTTTGCTGCAACAGGGAGGGTAAAAGTGTTTTTTATGTAAAATGTTAATAGTTAGTAAGAAATAAAAACATTTTCCAAATTTGGGCAAAATATGTTTATAAACAAGCAAACTACAACAGTTTACTTATTCTCTATAAGAATAACATGGGAATTTTAAATTTACAATTTTTTGGAATTTTCTCCGTAACCATTAGGCGCATTATAACGCTTCAATATACTAAATTATTTGTTTTTTTAAGCTCTACAAAATAGTTTCGAAAGAAATTGCAAAATTTTATGTTTTTTGGGTCAAAAATAGGAAAAACCCATTTTTACCCCATAAAAGCCCCCATAAACCCCCGTTCCCATGGTCCGATCATGCTGGTTCGCGAACTCGTTCGAATAAACGTAGGTTTACACGTTTGTACCAAATTTCATCAAAATCGGATAATTTTTGCTCGAGTTATAACGCTAACGGACACACATATATATATATATATATATAAACTAGCTGACCCGGCGAACTTCGTATCGCCTAAGTTATAGGTTTCCCCTAAGACAGACCGATGGAAAGAAAGTACCGTTACGTTTAATTTTCAAGATGATCTCGTTCGCATCGCTCAATCACGTCCTGGTTGAAGTTCGTTCGCTACGCTCACTCACCTTTGGGTTGGAGCTCGTTCGCTACGCTCACTCACCTTTAGGTTGGAGCTCGTTCGCTGCGCTCACTTGCCTTCAGGTTAGCTCGTTCGCTACGCTCACTCGCCTCCAGGTTGAAGTTCGTTCGCTACGCTCACTCACCTTTTGGTTGCAAATTAGCTGTTGTCATAAATGTAAAAGAAATAATAGTGCTGCACCCTGTTGGTAATCCTTGTAACTTTAATGCTATTGAACATCATAGAACAGAACCAACTTGTTTAATTGAAACAGCTGTTAAGATTCATTAATTCCATTTCTCATAAGGTTAACATGGGAAACTCCAGAGCCACTGGGGCGGAGCCCTTTTAAGAATTTCGAAACGGGAAATAGTTTACGTCCGATTCGCATACCTACAGAATTTACACACCAAATTTCATTACGATCGGTGAAGTCGTTCCGGAGGAGTTTGCAGACAAACACTGTGACACGAGAATTTTATATATTAGATATATATATATATATATATGAATTTGAACGGATGGTGTTTTTGACCTCTAGGGACCTCAAAGCGAAAAAAAAAATCGGTCCCGGGTCCAGGTCTTACCGTGAGTACTACGGTAATAGCTTATTCCCTATATGGGAAATTCGCTAAAATTAAATTCGTCGTAGTTGATGTGAGCCACCAACAGATTGCGCTGATCTAAATGACTAATTTCTGTTGAATACACAATGTTTTTTACCAAGTCAAACTTATGGTATAACTTATTATGAGCTATAGCAACTGTATTGACCCATCAACTTTGTCAGCAACAAAAAATAAGGTAGAAAATAGAATTTAAGACACGCATTCGGTGACTGGCTCACACAACTATATGCGTTAAAAAAAAATTGCGACAGCTGGTCCATATTCATGGGATGTCTACTTAAGTATCCAATAGTCAATACAAGAACATTACATGTTTTTGGTCGAGTTTTTGACCACTGGACGACCACTAGTAATTGTTTAAAAGGTTTGTAAACAATTTAAATATTGTTAAGAAAATTGATATTAAAATTGTTGAAGCTTGTAAGAACCACCCAAACAATTGATAAATAGTATTGTAAACAATTTAAATATATTGTTTAGAAAATTGTTTTAAAATAGTTTAGGCCTATAACAAAAATAAATAAAACAGTTTTAAAATTGTTGTAAAATAGTTACAACTCGTATTAAAACTTATTTTTTATACCGCAAAAACTGATTGTTAAACAATTTAAATATTGTTTCAATCTTAGGGATTAAAATTGTTGTTATATGAAGTTTAAATCAAAATGTTTTAAAATTGTTTAACAACAATTGTAAAACAGCTTTTTACAATTTTTTTTACTTATTGGGAGAGCCTGCTTATCAATTGTTGGAGGCAAACAAGATGAAAACGTGCTAATATACCTGAATCCTGTCTCTGTTTAGGCTGTACAGTCAAAACCATTCCAGAGACTTCGACATAGCTTGACTGTGTCAAAAGTGAAGCCCAAGGAATTGACACAGACATTTCTGAAATGTACCCATCAACAAATTCAAAAGGTACATTGTGTTGTTCTCCAAGGTCATTGAGAGCCTGAAATAAAGCAAAATTGATCATTGAACAAACTTAGTTAAAGGCTGTTTGCTAGTTATATTGCCAATATCCACTCCTTTTCTTTTAAATGTAACTAGTGGTTTTGTAGGGACATAAGTCCATGAAAAGCTCAAATGTAATACAAATTATTGTAATATTTAAACAGTATCAAATTATCTATGTGTCAGGATAGATATCCAAGTACAACATATCTTTTGTGTGTAAAACAGTAGGTTGTTTGTCTTTGTATGCTTTTGTTGATGTTATTTTCAATAATAATTTAAATGAGTCCAGAGGCTAAAGGCAGAAAACATGATGGTGCATAAATATTGGTTTACTAAGATAGCTTTGGTCTTTTGGCTAAAGATGATAAAATGCTTCCCTGATTAAAATATTGGAAATTGTCTTCGTCAAATATGAAAAGGCAAATAAAGGTGTGTTTAGATAGGCCTAAGCTTAGTTCTTGGTCAAACCCGCTAAATTAGCACACCGACCCAGTTATCATTTCTAAGTTTATGCTCCTTTTGTAAAGGTTAAGTATGAAGTATGTAAAGATTAAGTATGAAGTAAGAAGTAAGTAAGTAGGTTTAACAAAATTATTGTAAAGTAAAGGCATTCCATTGGCCCATTGGCATTCCTGGTTTTATATAGTATATAGTATACAGTACATTGCAGAATTGACTGGCAAATGAGTAATCCAAATGTAATATTTCTTACTGGCTTGATAAATCACGATCAGCTGTATTGAAGTAAACAAAAATCAGCAGTAAATGGCTTCTACTGCTATTCTTATGGAGAACATTTTACGTAATATCTAATTTTGTGTTAAAATTTTGGAAATTTCATTCTATTTTCCTGTTATCACGGGATCAAGTCTTTTAATTTGAACCCTCTCCCATCTTTCTATGACTTCCCAGTCGCCTAGAATTTTGACGCAAAGAATCGGCTTACGTAATTAATATATAGATACTTCTTCGGGGTTTTCAGTAGCCTAGTTCTTTAATTCATTTTCAGCAGCATTTTGACTCGTATCGGTACACTTTTACTTTATTTTTCAAAAATTACCTCTACCTGTGGTATTGATATACAAATATTAAAATGTACAGAATGGAAGCAAAGTCTCATCAGGTTTTAAAACATGACTAAGACTATAACAATAGCTATGTTTTAATAACATCTTTAAATTTATTATTGACACAATCAAAGGTGTTAAACATGACCCACTTAGAAATTAAATGTAATTGCTGCTGGTGGTTACAATAAAAATCAATTCATTCAATCAAGAGGGGGAGAGATAACCGTGGTATTTATCCCAATGGTCACTCTCTGGCTCCCGCTAGCTAGCTTACCAATCTGCCGCCGGTGGTAATTCAATCTGCACCAAGTACTGATACTTGATGTCATTGATCAGACCATTAAGTCAGTGTCCTGATCACACATCGCCAAGTGGACTGGTGTTACCAGAAACCAAAAACATTGGATTCTAGTTCACCAGATTTTAACCGATCTCGGCAAGGTCAGATAATACAAAAATAATAAAAACATTGTAAACATATAAAATCTAAAACTTAATGCTCAAAGTTTGCTTTTTATCTTAAAACTACTAACTTTTCCTTTCTCCCCCAAGAATAGCCGACAAATTAAAAACACCACTACCGGTAACGTAACTACAGTAGAACTCCAATTATCCAAACTCCGATTAACCGAATCTCCAATTATCCGAATCGCTTATTTCAACAATTTTAAAAACGTAAAGCTACAGTAATAAGTTTTGCAAAATATCAAAGAATTGTTATTAAACACATTTAGCCAATTTTGGACTTTGATGGAACACTATTGACTTAATAACATGTAGCCTATAGAACACTTGTACTATGAACATTGTAAACTGTAAACATGTTCTGATTTAAATTATTATTAATTAAAAGTTCACTTAGTACCGAAAATGAGGATTTTTCTTTAAAATTCCTGGAATTCCGGTAAAACTCCGATTATACGAGTTTTTGATTATCCGAATGGGGTCTGGTCCCTATTGATTCGGATAATCGGAGTTCTACTGTACACCTAAACTTTACCTAAATTAGGCTATAAGGTAATTAATTCAATACTCGACCACTCAACTCCAGGTCTGGGAGTTGAACCATAAACCACGTAAGGGTTGGCAGAGAGATATGTGGTATATCATTTGTTAACAAACTATAAAATGAGGCATTCTAAAGCTGCATATTAGGACAATCAAAGAACTATGTTGATTGCTAGTTGAGCTTTAATTTATATTAGGCCCTAGGCCTAATTAAAAGATATTTTCATTAACATGTGGATGCAGACAAACCTTGAACAGTATGGTTTTTGCACTTATTGTATAAAATGCATAAGTATACATTTTTGATCAGCAAGCAAACAGGCCCACTTTTATAAACGGGCAGACTGGGCATATGCCCAGGGGCGCCGGTGGTTGGGGGGCGCCCAAGGGGCGCCCTGAACCACCGCCCGCCCTAGGAAAAATAGGGTTTTATCAGCCGGGGTCTCAAAAATAAAATGGGTGATTTCAACTTGTAGTTAAGTGATTTTCCCTCATTACAAAAGTAAATAAATACAACAAGATTGAAAATACTCGACCTTCAGGTTATAGGCCTACCTCAAGTAGTCAGGGAAAGGCAGACAGCAGTGTGAACCGGGCGCACTCACTATACAGTACTATCAGAGGCAGGGCGGTAGGCCTGCATGGAGGAAGGAAAATACATAGGTGTGCTATTCCTGTCGTATGCTGACGTTACTCAGATTGCAAACACCATTTTACCATTGGGAAAAATTATAAAAACAATAACAATCAAATCAAAACAAATATATACTTATATAGCAATACATCAGCTGATTTTTTGTTTGCAATTTGGGTGACGTCAGCAAATTACGGGAATAGCACCTAGGCCAGCTGTAGTCTACATGCCTACGGTTGACGTGCCCCTCCTACGCTAATGTAGCCTATGCACGGGCCTATAGTAGGAACCATGGAAAAAACATACTCTCTTAGTAGAATCTCGTTCAATACGTGTGTAATGAACTGCACACTGTACTGAACAGTAATCAAATCACTGCGTAGTGCAATAAGCTATTGGCGCAGGACAAGAGGCATCGCATAGCAACTACTGTCAAGTTCATTGCCCTCATTCCAATTTTAGTTGCCAGAGCCATCTTGATTGTTTTGTTTTTATTTTGACGATTGTCATGAACTTTGTACATAGTTTTAACGACAATAAATCATTTCATTTCATTTCAATCCCCAACCCACCTGCTGTGAATTTCGGCGAACTGATGAGTCAAACCCCCTTCCCTCTTCCCCGCCCTACACTGCTGTGGTCAAAACCCTTATAGTTATATATATATATATATATATATATATATATATATATATATATATATAAGGGGGTGCTGCTTTTGGGTTTGCCCAGGGCGCCACTGACCCTTAACGCGGCCCTGCAAGCAAATTGATTGATTGATTGATTGAAAGCAAGTAAAACTACAAAATTCAATTGCAGGCAAGGCCATATTTCCCTAACGCCGGAAACAGTGGTTGCCGGGGGCCTCAAAGTAGCCTATTTGTCTTAAAACTATTTTTCTTAAAACTTCATTGATGATCTATTAAGTTAAAAGGTTAAATTTTCGAATCAAGCCTTTTTTAATGAGAAAGAAAATCAGAATTAATTTATGCCGCGACTAGGGAGGTGATGACAAAGTCTCCGGGATCGCACAAGATGTTTATGCCTACTATTTCACTTTGAACATAGAAAACTTTCACAATTCATTCCTAACCATAGATGTCAACCATTTCCTCGTGATTGCTGGGGTCATAGTCGGTGTCTCCGTGATTGTGAAAAATGTTCACTATAATGCCGAGAACAAAAGAGACATTAACAATTCCTCTAAGATCGCAGTAGATTTTCTCAATTTTACCACTGTCGCAAAGGTTGTTTACTATTTCGTCATCACAAAGAACGATTCCGTTCATTTTGTAGGGTATTTTGTTTCGTGTTCGTAATTTTGTCCTGATCTTAAGAGATGTAGATGTCTCCGCAATCGTGAAAAATTTTCACTATGTTTATTCCATCGTGAAAGAATGAGACTTTCACGTAAAGGATATCCATGATTGCCTGCCTGACTGCAGGGGACGCTACCGGTAGGCTAACAATTAACTTAAGTCGTGACCGAGAAAGACATTGTCGATCTAAAATTTTGTCTTACGTTCAAGACTTCACCGCGATTGCGGAAGTAGTTTAAGCAATTAAAATAGGCTATAATAAATAATAGGCTATTTGTTATCAAAGACTTTTCTGGCTTGCCCCATTTTAATTTTGGATTACCACCGAAAATTCATAATCAATGGAAATCTCCAGTGTGAGCCACCAGGGCCTCACAGATTCTAAATACGGCCCTAATGCAGGGACCTCAGGCCTAGAGTGTATTTTTCGACACGGGTTGGATTAGGGTTTGTATCAACACACTCGCTACGCTAACCTCTGAAGACATCAGACATAAGATTTATATGAGACGTCTTCTTGTGGTTAGTCAATAGTTTAGGTTTATTAAAATCAAAATCTAACACAATGTGACTAAATGAAACTAGGCCTATAATTAATTATGAATATATATTAGTTTATCATTACCTGTACATCAAAACTAACATCTGTGACAGACCCAGTGCCATTGTACAAGTCAACTGTCAATTGATCTAAAGTCAATTTTTCTTCAAAGAACTGTCCCAGATATCGCTGAAGAAGGTATCTGATAGCCCTCTTTTTAATGTTGTCACTAAAGGGTATGTATTGAAACCACATTGTGGCTAAGCAACTGTGCCATACAAATGTATATGTTTTACTCTAACTCCAAACTATATTAATGAAATTGTGTTACAATACTATTTGTTCTATTTAAAACACGCTTTTCTAAGTTTTAAATGATTCTTAAGGAGACTGCGTTTAACATAACGAAACAACACTTCCTACACAATGCAAGGTCAATGCCACAAGATAATTCAGTTTTAAACTCTCTTATTGATGCCTGCGTATTGCAAAATGCAATCTAAAACTCCGACTCGTACATAAAGTGCCCTGAGTAATAAAAGGAGAAGTAGTGAAACACATGAAACTATTGCTGTGACATCCGTTTAACACATATTCCCAAATTCACAACAAAGACCAAAGTATCACCACTAACTGTAGACTGTAAAGTGTAAACATTGACGACTACAACGGTGGAGTGGTGGCTGACAGATTGATAATGTAGACGATTTTATTTCACAACGACAACATTGTTCTCGTCGTACCAGCTGGTGTACAGCAAAGAGTACTAAATTTAAAACCAAAACACGAGTAAACATAAGCGTGTAGACTGTAACCCACTCTGTAACCGTGGGGTCTCATACCTTATAATGGCATAGCTTATAATCGTGAAATTTTTCTATAGCTTATAATCTTGAAAATGTGGCACTTTCACGAAAAATTATAAGCTACTAGCAACAGAGCCCGTTGTGGCCAAATACAACGATCTCTAGTAAAATAATGGTTGTGAAATCCATACACCACTTTACTCACTAATATTAATGGTACGTAGATTAAGCACATAACATTAGAATCGCATCCTTAACATAAGGAACTCACTTTAAACACAAATGCAAATTGTTAACAACAACATTATTAATCAAAGTAAACTCAATTAAATAACAATATAACAATAAGCTGTTAAATTATTAACACATGTTTCGTTTGTTTAGACACAGACAAGGGAAACAAAAATATCTTTTGTTTCCTTAGTCAATGGTTTAGATTATGCATACTGGTAAACCAACTATTGCCATCTATAACAATTATTGGTTTTTCTTTTCCGAGTCGGGTTAAAGGTCTTCTACCCGACCGATTTTCATAATTTTGGCCTTAAACCAAAGGTATGGACGCCACCACAGATTTGCCATCAATCATCGGCATTCATTACGACGTATATTTCGAGTTATGCACAAAATGCGTCCCTGTATATAAAGCTATGCAAGCACACATTTGCCATCAAGCATCGATCATTATATTAATTTATCTAATGTATTACTCAACGAAAAAATATAAATTTGTTTTTTTACCGGTATTTTTTACTTCAATTAAAGATGTATTCCAGCAGTTCTAATTACATAACCCTTTATGTTTTGGTCTAAAAACCTTTAGTTAAATACCAGCTTTCTATTGAGCTATTGATTATTAAGATTCCGATCTTAATAATCCTACCTAAAGCACACTGCTGAATCACGAATCAACAATAATTATAATCGTTTTAATAGATAGATAGATAGATAGATAGATTTATTTGATCATTAAACATTATACATAAAATGCAATAGATCATGTCAAAATAGTAAACAAGTACATGCAATCAAGCTACATCAATTTAAGGTTTACATGCACAAAAAAATAGGTACTTATAAGATAAATTATGAATAATACAGACAGGGTTACTAAATAATATATGCAATAGTAATTAAGTATAAAAAAGTTAAATCACAGTGGGCGACATACTTGAATAAATAATACACTAGGCAAGCAGCTAGCAATGAAAGTTTTACAAGTTAGAAATTTACACAAGATAAAATCACAATATAAAATCACAGATAAAAACAAATCAATGTGGTTAAAAAACTAGGCTAATATCACAGGCAAAGAATTCTTCAATACTGTAGAAGGGTTGACTGAAAGCCACCTTTGAAGTACTTTTTTGAAGTGGTCAAAATCAGCCAGATGGGCTTCAAAAGGCAGCCTGTTAAACAATTTTACACCAACTTGTTCAAAAGAATTGAGCACCTTGCTCAGCCTGGTGTAGGGTCTAGCTATTGAATTACAATTTCTTGTGTTATAACTATGAACATTTCTGTTAAGAGTTAAACTGTTAAGATTTTTCTTTGTGTGAAGCATGCAGTGAAGGATGTAGAGATTTACAACAGTTAAAATCTTTTCTTGTATAAAAAGTGGTCTGCAGTGATCTTTATAATCAGAAGCGGTCATTATTCTAATACATTTCTTTTGGGCGAGAAGTACATCAATCACAGAAGGGCTATTTCCCCAAGAGACCATAGGAAAAGGCACTTTGAAATAGACTAAAGTAGACAGTTTTAACATAGTCAGAGGATACATATTTCTTCAAGTGTTTCAATAAATAATTAATTCTACTTAGTTTTTTACATACAAACTCTACATGCACATTCCAGGATAATTTAGGGTCTAAGTGAATACCAAGCAACTTAACACTATGACTAGAATCTACTAAGCCAGGGTTCAAGGAGAAGATCATGCTTTGAGTTTTCTCTACATTCATAAACAAAAGATTTGACTTATACCACTCATTTTCCCTAGTAGCACAAATATATATTAAATACATATCAATAAATATATTTAAAATCTATTTTATATATCTCAAGTGTGTATTAATGTCAATTTTATATAATATTTAAAATATATTAAATATATAAAAAATATGTTTTTGAATATATTAAATATTAAAAAAATATGTTCCAATAATATATTTTAGTGAATAATATTTAAATAAAAAATGTATTTAATATCTCTTCCAAACATCCCATGGGACCTAAACATAAAAACACAAAATAATAAAGATTTAGTATGAAAAACACAATTATCAGTTGAGTAAATTGATTTAAATAGTTCATAAAAACGAATTTTGAAAAAATTACTGGATAAAATTTTTTCAACCCGGGTTGGTCTCGAACCTGGGTCTTTCGACTTATGAGCCTCCTACTTTACCTCTTAGCTACTTGTGACTGTTGTTAGCATTAGCTTTCAAATGGTGAAAGAGTGGCCCTCAGTTGCAATGGTTGCAATACTTGAAATATTTTTGATACTACAGTATAATATGATTCTGTTAATCTGTTTTGGCATCAAGTAGTTGAGTTGAATAGTGCTGTAGTGAATAGTGAGTAGTCTCCACGAATACAAATACAGTAAACTACAAAAATTAATTTAAATACTATGACAAATATTATGTAATTTATGGCATATGTAAATCAAATAATTATTTTTAGAACGTCATATACAACCGTAATTAGTTTCTTAAAAGGTCGCCAGTCACTAGCACCCTTTTCTAGCCAGTTATTCAAGATTTCTATGATCATTGTCACATATTGCAATTAAAAAAATAAAACCCATCAACACTTTTTTTCGTTTGACCCAAATGTAGCTGTCGAACATGTATACTGCCTCTTAACTATATGCTATTTTTTTACGTGTATGATAGAGTGACAACGCTTTGGCAATAGCAATTATCATACAAAAAATGCATGTATAAATTGATAGACACTATAAAAAACAAAAAGATGCAAATTATTTATTTGCTAATTATAAAAGATTATTGGCTATATATTCGACAAATATAATATTGTTTTATTAATAAAAATATCTGACGTGTTTCAAAATATATTTATAAATAATTTAAATATATAATATAGTTTCAAAGATATTTTATATATTTAAAATATTCTCAACACATAATTTTTTAAAATATTTAATAGGAAGAACATACATATAAAATATGTATATTATAGATTCTATTCTTGTTTTATCAATATATATTATGAATCTATTTTATATATTCAAAACTTATATTTAATTTATATTTTGCATTGCTTTTTGGTAATATTTTAAATATATATTTGAATATATCAAACTGTTATTAAAGATATATTATATATATATATTATTCTAGGTTCTATCAAATACAACTTTAAATATATAAAATATTTATAAAATACATATTTGTGCTACTAGGGTTGGCTTCACTTATGATGCTACTGAATTCATCCCTAATTGTGGCAGCAGAGGGACTTGTCTTAAAAAAGGTTACGTCATCTGCAAACAGGATAGAACTAGCATGCACATTCAGATCTAGGTCATTTATTAAGACTAGAAAAAGGAAGGGGCCTAGTACCGACCCCTGTGGTAATACTTATCAGCAATCAATGATACGTACCTAACTCAAATTGTATTTAAGCTATTTTATATGTCTTGGTCTTAGAATACTTCAAAGGCTTTCACTTGAGATATTGATAGTTTTAATCAGTAAAGTTAAAGATACTGTATCGCTCAATCAGAATACATAAATGTAATTATATCTTGGATATGGAATTTAGTTTTAGATATATTTACTCAATTCTAATTACGTTATTCTATTTGTTTTGACCTAAGAACCTTCAGTGAAATACCAACTTCCATTTAAATTATTGATTTATAAGACGTACTTAAAGCACACTGTTAAATCACGAACAACACTATTTTTTTAAAAAAAAAATGGAGTTATTTATCATCGATAGTCAAACGGTCTTGCTTGCACCTCAACAGACTTTGATGGGTCTCACCTAGTAAATCTTTAAAACATCAAACTATCATAATTAATTATTTGCAAATCTAAATGAATTAGTCTTTCCAATGACCTATTAATTAATAAAGTCGGTTCAGTAGAACTGTAGATTTAATTGTAAAAAGTTTAACAACAAAATCATTAGTTCAGTATTTTCTCATTATTATAAATTTGGAGGTTGCTTAACGTTTTTGCAAATAACTTTGAAATGGTGCGGAAATCGACCAAAGTGGAAAGTGATATTCTAATAGAGAATAAGATTTCCTACAAATTACTATCATGTATTTTTGGAAAATACTCAATAAAGGCAGCCTAAAGTTGGCTACAAATATAAACTTGGAAATATAAACTTGGAAAAAAGGCGTTTTAAATGTAATATTGTTTATTTTTATTGTTTTGCCTCAAATATGTAATAAAATCAAACTTTCATAATTATTTGCAAATCTACACGAATTGGGCTTTCCAACGACCCATTAAGTAACAAAATCGGTCCGGTAGAAGTCTAGATTTAGTTGTACAAAGTTTAACAAAAATATATGTAATTCAGTATTTTCTCACCACTATAAATTTGGAGATCACTTAGATTATTGCCAATAACTTTTAAATGGAGGGAAAATCAACCAAAGTGGATGTGATATTCTGAAAGAGAATAACATTTTCTACAAATAACCACTATGCATTTCTTGAAAATGCTTAATAAAGGCAGCCAAAAGCTGGCTACAAATAGAAACTTGAAAACAGAAACATGAAAAAGCAGTTTTTAATGTATTTTTGTTATTTTTACTTTTTTACCACAAAGATTTAATAAAATCACACTTTCATCATAATTTGCAAATCTACATGAGTTGGGC